AGAGATGTGGCTCACACCAGGTGCCTCTAACATAGACATCTTGACAGATGGCTACTCAATTTTCCAAGCGTTTTATTTACATGTGATCTTGCATATCCTGATCGCCCTTTTTGACACCATTATTGCACATTTTGTGATGCAATGTGAATTCAAATACCGCTCAGTGAGACCAATTCTCTTCTAAAGGTGGTAGTCTACTGTTGCCCCCAAGTCTACGAAAAGATAACCAGTTTACTAAAAAAAACTTGAGAAACTCTAATCTGGCTACCACTTCTCATATCTTACCGGAAGGTGATTTTAACGCTCCAAGAGCCGCCCTTCCTCTGAATGAATCCCAAGCGCATCGGGTCTCTGGACATTTTGAGTGACGAACATGCTCCTACTTGTGGCAGCTTAACACAAGCTGGGGCCAAGGGACTAATTTTGGACGCCATATTTTTCAACTTTTCATCCGATCGAGTCCCTCACATGTCACTACACATCTTTGCCCTGAGCTTGTGTTCACAAGTACGAGCATTTTCTTCACCCAAGAACGGTGTAGTAGGGACCCGTGATGCGCGGGGGAATCGGGCTGAACGGTACGCTTCTGAGACTTACGGGACCCGTGATGCGCGGGGGAATCGGGCTTTTGGTCATGAGGTGATTCAAGGAGAATCCATTCCATCACCCTGAACGGTACGCTTCTGAGACTTATAGCTGAGGCTTAAATAGCTGTTGGGTGAAACTTAGTGAGGAGTTTTGTAGATTGTCGTCGCCATTGCTTTTTTCTAGCAGAGGATAGGTTGCTTTTGCGAAGCAAATCGTGGAGCATCAGGTACAAATGATTTGTCAGTATGAGCAACTTTTCCCTCAAGATCCTTGGATAGACCTCGTCTGGCCCCAACGCGATAGGAGGTTGTCTTGTTCAAGAGTAAACGAACGTCGTCCTCCATGACGACTTAGTCAGTTAGAGCCCCTTTTAGGTCCGCTTGAGAAAAATGAATGTGACGAGGTCTCTGGTGCGAACTACAGGCCTGCATATTATTCTTTGTATGCTTGAGATACCACTATTGGGTCATTCGTGAACTGCCCGTTTCTGTCTCTCAGCTAGAAGGTTCTAAGCTTACTTATTTAGTGGTCTATTATTTATTTGGGCAGTACACTTTTGCGCACTTTGTACATTTTCGTATTCTGGAATGAAGTCCATTATATAGGTTTATTCTCGTATGACCCATTGGCGGATTTCTGATTTGCAATACTTCCTTTTTTTTACGAAATGCCAACTCATCTTCCGCGTTCCAGTAGTTACCTTTTTGATAAATAGTTATGACCTTTTTCCAGAAGACGCCGAATTATTTTAGATAGCATTAGGTTCGTACAAATTCATGTTGGTCTTTTCTGTACAAACACCGCGTACGCCCCGTGAATTTTCAGGACAATTGTCATGTATGTCCCCTCAACCCAAGCTGATTACCATTTCAATTGGTCAAGTTAGCTACTCATTTCTGGGACGTCTGCACGGCAGAAGTTCCGAATCAACATCTGTGGTTGGAGATTTCTTGCCCAGTAGCAGCTGAAATCAAAGACCAGCACACGATGGTCAGAATGTCCCAGTCAAGCGTTACTTAACACTTGGTCAAATATATGCCTTTTGTTTGGGACAACCAGAACTGTTCAAGGGTGGTACTTTGTCTGCTGTAGCCTATCGAGTTTAGACGTTCTGTTGAAGGACTTCGGTCAGTGCCGATGCAAAATATCCACTGGACCCGATGCGTTCGACTTCCATGCTGGAGACCTTTGGAGATGTGTGAAGATTGAGGACGGTTGTCCAAGTGTTTGTATGGGGAATTGGTCATTTTCTAGGGCAGTGGTACACCACGCCGGAAATTGGTGTCCCATTATCCTCAGCGCATTTGATGTTGTCACATTTCTGCTTTTACTAAACATAAAACAGCAAATCCAAGGACCGAATACCAAGCTCACAGTCCGTACTCTAGACGAGAATAGACATGAGCTCTTAACCTAACCTCTTCCGCCACTTTAGTTGTACAATTCCGAATGGTTCCAAATGTATAGCACACAGAATCTTGTCGGGATATTGAAATAAGCTCAACGGAGCTGGGTTGGTGATCCCGAGTTTCCAACCGTTGCCACCCATTATTTGAATTTCATCAGCAATCGTCACTTTCGAACATGTCCATGATTTTATCATTGTCAGCAAGGATGAAGAGTAGATGGTATAAACACAGCGTCAAATCCGAGATAGTAAGGGGTTTAATATAAGGATATTGAGGCTCCGTGACTTGATCCCACTTTTGGCGTAGAAGAAAATTCAGCATGTAGAAAACTCAACTGCATAGAAAACAACTTATCTAATGAGTGGTGATCGAGTCTGTATTGGAAGATAGCACAACATAGCCACACCAAAATGATGGTCGTCTGGGTCAACGATTCCACTTAAGTCCAGATGGCACACCTCCGTTGTACCTTTTCAGGATTATCTGTGGCCTCTTCTCAGAAATATCAGCCGTTTGTGAGGCATGAGTGGGCGCTATGACAGCCACGTTAACAAGGTGCCAGAAAGCTGACTGTGAATGGATAATTTGCTGGCTGGGTTAACTGATCTACACATTGGAAGCCCAGCCTTATCATTACCCTCGTGTGGAGCTTGATAGCACTACGCTTCCACTCTATGAGGTCTTTCTACTTACTATAGGTTGTATGGCAGCGCAAGATGGATATGCGGGTATGCAAGTATAGCTGGATGAAGGACCTTCTATTGTACTGTTACTAGGAAAAAGCGGTATGGTGTATATACCCAGTGTCCTGATGGCCAATGGATTCGTTATTTTGAGGATACCATTCCAATGTTCGTTTGCAATGCTTGTACTATCAAGCTGCAGCAAATATGACTAAAAGGACAGCCACTTCGAAATGGTTTGCTGGAGCTATAGGTTCGTTTAATTTGGCCAAATGTCCAACTTGTCTCTGTAGATAGTGTCCGGTCTTGCCATAGTTGGATAATTCCTAGTTTTCATCTGGGCATTTCTTAACACTGTGGGCACCTCTTGTACAACTACAGCTAAGAGGCCTATTTAGGACGATCTAACCAGGCCGTAAACGTTGACTTGTAAGTTGAGTTAACTTTTGAGATCCACCATCACCGTCATATTCCGGATTTAGGATGGTTGCTGGAAGCATTGTGCGATGTGGGATCTGAGATGTTATCATTCATCGGCTGCATATACTAATTCGGATCAACGTTGTTACACGATTTTCAGCCTAGTTGCTTAGTATTCATTAACACTGTAGAAAGGTAGAGCTTGCTGTATTAGTTTCCCTTTTGATACCACGTTGTTCGTACATTGAACAATTAAGGTTTAAGAAGACGAGGTCTCCGTTTCCTATAGGTTACTCCAAAACAAGGCCCACAACGTCGTTGGAGATTCAAGATGACGAGCAAACTAGGCATCCACGAAGGAGCGATTAAGAGTGGAATGTAGAGTTCGTTTTAGAAGGGACTAATCTAGACACAATAAATATGAATGATGGCAGCTCGGTGCTAGCGAGCAGAGTAGTCTGGGTTTCTGAGTAAACAAGTCTGGTATTTTTGGAAATACAACATAGTGCACAAAACACAGAATTTAGCCTTATCACTGTAATCCTGAAATTGTCACACGCAATTCAAGAACCAATGTAAAGAGTTTGAACGGTAGAACTAAGTCCTAACTGTATGCAGTCAGGGGATTAACTCCTGACAGTTTTACGGATTAGCAGTACGTTATGTGTCTGCCAGGCGTACATAGTCATAAAACTGCACGTCATTAATCTCATCATTAAAAGCTGCATGCTCATGGTGGCTTAGGTGACGGGCGCTCCGCTGCAAAGAGATGCGCGAAGTGAGAGAGCAAACACAAGGACCATCTATATTAGTCGATGGCCTCAAGTCTCACGTTGAGAGTTGCTTATTATGCACTCTTTGGCTGAACGAAGACAGCGTCAAGGAGATCGTACTCGCAAAGCCTAGGTCCGCTAACAGTATCCTCAGAGAAAATCAGACTTCGAACTGTCCGTTCATGTGGGAGACGAAAAATTATCAGCGTAATGTTTGACTAAAACGCCACAACCTCTGGTGCCGCACAGTGCTTTTAACACACATCGTCAAGCGCGTGCTACTTATATACCTTGTTGCTAATCTGACGACATCAAGGGCACCGACGTATTGGTGTTCGGTATCGCAGACTCATCTGGAGTTCCATGCCAGCAGAGAACGTTTTGAGATAACGGCTTCTGAAATACACCAGCCTTCCGCTTCCAGTTTGGTCCCCCTTGGACCATAAATGGTAGAAATACGTGAGGGTTTGTTCAATACATCCGCTTACCATAAACAGTCATAAAGAAACTGGAAAATTAAAAAGATCTAAACGTTTTAAACCGTATTCATCGGATAGCACGCGGTAATAAGTACAGTAATTACAAGTAAAAAACGAGCCTGTCTGAGGTTGCTCCACAATTGTGATTTCCTGTGGTTGAGCCCTCTGAAGATAGCGCCACACCGCAAGGACGGTTTCAACTCCTCTTGAATTGAAAATGCCTATTTGCTCCACAATTGTGATTTCCTGTGGTTGAGCCCTCTGAAGATAGCGCCACACCGCAAGGACGGTTTCAAGCCACTAATTAACTCCTCTTGAATTGAAAAATGCCTATTTCTGCTCAGATTTAGGCACAATTTGTGGGAGTTTAGGACCAGCCTATTATGTTCAACCGAAATATTTGCTACTCAAGTTTCCACTCTCGGGATCGAATATTTTGGAGTGATCAACAAGACTCGAGTGGCATTTCAGGAATCTTTTAACAGGAGTGAAAAACGTACGGTTGGTTTGTTCAGACCTAGACTTAGTCAGCAAATGTGATTAAATGAAGAGTTTATCCTTTTTTTGCATAACTAATTAGACGACTCAAGGGAGAGAGAGAGAGAGTTGACCCAGATATTATTTTTGTCATGGCTGTACATGATTGGTCTCGGAAATTGTTTCAATAAAATAGAAAGACGCTATATAGAAATGTCAGATATCAGGAAATGAGTGCCGCGCATCGTTCGTCTGGTGTCAGGGCGAAACACCTATCACTTTCCATAATGCATCAGCAAGTTTTCTATCTTCTTCGTGGCGCCTGAGCATCTCAAGTAGTTGTGGTTCATCAGTTGAATCCAAAATAATTGAAGAGATTGATGAGTTCTGCAGGAGGTTCGCCTGCTCCTGAAAGTTTCAAGAAGGTGCTCGTAACAAGGAAAGGTGGAATGGGACCAAAAGTTCAGATAAAGATAACAAATTCAAAAGAATCTAACCACTATGTAGTAAAACTCTCTGTGATGTGGCGACCACATGCATTCGCATGTGTACATCCAGTCTGGTATTAGAACGCGCATGTGTAGAAGCATTCAGATGAAGAAGCTCTCTTTCAACCTCGGAAGTGAATAGTTTTGAGGCATTTTAATTACGCCCCATTTGGCCTCAAATTTCTAGATCGTCATAATCATCATAATTATTATCAGCTATAGGAACCGCGTACTTGTACAATGGTTGTAGCTGCCAAAATATAGTTTATTGATGATTTGAAGAGCTATGGTAGGTAGGCGCGCATTGAAGGCGGGAGCTGGTAAATTGGTGCTTAAATACACGTCTGTCAGTGGGCTTCTAAGTGGGGGGTTGGGAAGTAAGCTACTGAAATCAAAATCTCACAGTTCTCAAGCAAGAATTCGTTCAGTCAGCGCTGCATTAGTAAAGACCTTCTCACTTGGTGTGGGGAGCTAATAGTGCACTCAACTGGGAACCCACAGCTTCAAAATCTCAAAAGGTGCAAGTTAGACGTCCAAATGCTAGACAATACTTGCACTCTTTGTCGATGGCACGAAGGCACACAGTGATCTCTTCCACAGAGGTGTCTCAATTGCATTAAAAATTGTCACTTCGTTGTCAGCTAGATGGACACTGTATTGTTTCTTCATCACAGCCCAAATGAAAACAGAACCAATTCTGTATTAACATTTGACCATCTCAGTTGGTCCGCTACAAGACCTACTGCTAAAAACAAAAGCAGAGGATGATTGCTGGTCACCGATAACGTGGGAAAAAGATCAGTTAGGAGGAATTGGTGCTGGGATAACATGCGCTCTTGAGCAAGATGTTAAGGTCGATTACTATAATTTGTGGGTACAAAGCGGACACGAAGAAAGCCACTCGATATCTCCCCTACGGTCAGCACACATCGATTTGTGTGTTCGTTCTATTAGGAACTTCAGCAGAACATTTCATATCTAATGAAGTGCAGCTCGGTCGAAATCAATTGCCAGTGACGTCGTAAGAAACGATTCATCAGAAGAAAGCACACAGCTTAATCAAACATGGTCACAGGATGGACTGGCACCAGCCGAAACAAGGTAAGTCCTTTATGGATCAGCACTCAAAGCTAGGGGGCAAACAAAGTTTGTGTTCATAGAAGCCACTCATGGAACTCTTTAGATCCAGAAATAGATGAACTGTACACCATGAGTGAGTGGCACGAAAAATCAAACAAGAGTCCGTCTTTGATTAATATCTCATCCACATATAACAATTTGTTCAGCTCCTAAACTGTTTAGGACACTCCTAAGATGTGGCAGCGTATTGGAATCTCGTAAGCTCAGAAAAATTGCTCATAGATTAGCACTAGAGAAAAAATCATTGTCCTGTTCGAAAATCTAAAACGGCATGTTTATTGTTAGCTGTGAAAGATGAGTTTGAACTTTCAGAGCTTTTTCTGCAGTAGCTTGTCCATGACAAACGTAAATTCGACGAAAAAAACAGTCTTAGGACAACCCTGATTAAAGCAGAACTTTCGGAAAGCCACTGGTAGTTTCTCAACATGAAACCATTTCCTAGGGTAGGTACCCTGAAATGATTGTGGTAGGCTAGCTCTGAGTTCAGTTCTCATCCACTTGTATTCTTTTTTTCAAAATAAGGCTCTCAACTAAATCATAGTTGTACGACAAAGAAGTGACACTACTAAACGCTGATGTAATTTTGATCACGAAGATGATGTCCTCAAACTTCCGGATCACCTTCTTTCCAGGTACGTAGGTAAGTTACTCCGTGGAGTTGAACACCAAAATACATCAGAAAAACGCCAGGTTTTTCCCTTAGAACGCCTGACTGTGGTTGGTTGTGACCTCAATAGGTATAGCAAGAAGGAAAAAGCGGTGTAAACAGTTTGGCGCAATACGTAACAACGGATCCACGAATATAAGATTCTGCGGTAATCGTCTTTGCGATCAATCCGCACAAAAATATCATTAAAAACCCTGGAATTTTTAATATTTGTTTCCACGGGGATCAATCTGAAACCACGCATAACCAACACATAAAATGCAAGGCGCCTTATAAAACCAGATTTATTATGCTTGGGTTTATTCGTTAGCTAGGTTTATACAGAAACACTGGGTGCTGAAGTTATACTGATCCGTGTGTCTTTGGCTATGGTTGAGACCAAGATTACTGATCGGTTGTGGTCGTTCAGTTTCCATAGCTTCTATGAGTGATCCATAAATAATGTAATACGACGTTGTCTGATTCATATTTTAAGGGTTGGCATAACTCTCGGGAAAATTTGGGCGCACATACACAACCCTATAACTTGGGTGTTGAAAACCAACATTCAATTGTCTGAGAGACGAAAGACATCTAAGAATATATCTAGCCATGCGTTACGTTTGTGTCATAAAACTCTTGTCACAAACCATCGTAGCGACTGAAACATGGGGCGGCCTGGTGCAGCACATTCGGTTGCCTGGAAGAATCAAAACCTAGAGATTCAGCTGGGTTCCAGGTGAGTCTCTCAAAAAACCAAATTAGTTTGCAAATGAGTGTATTTCGCTGATTTCGTGCGATTTGGTTTCACGTAGAACATAAGGGTGACAGAAACTCGGGGACTGCACCTACCTGATGAGCCCCAAGAAATGGCGAAACCGGTCGTGGTCTGTCGTGGAGTTTTCAACAAACTTATGAGTAGTGCATTACAAAAAAATATATGTATCGCGACATCTCGAATATCGTAGCGATTAAAACATGAGGCGGCCTGATGCAGCACATTTAGTTGCCTGGAAACATCAACACTGAGAGATTCAGCTGGGTTCCAGGTGTGTGTCCCGAAAAAGCAAATTAGTTTGCGAAAAAGTGTATTTCACAAATGGCATTTTTGAGGCAGATATACGGCTTAGTGACCACGAAACCAGCATAATATTCTTGATGCCAGTTTCGTTGGAACAGAATAAGAACTGCAGGATCTTACACCGCTAACCTGGCTAGCATCTGTGACGTCACTGTGACAGTTTGGGAAAAGGATCCAACCACCTATCCCTGATTATAACTGGGAAACTGCCAAGTACGTTGGGGACTCAAGAGCTGAGGCTGTCGACGCTGGATCAGATAAAAGTGACCACAGCCGACCGATCTCAGTCTCGACTGCCACATGTTCTCATTTTGAAGGTGACAAAAAATCAGTCACATGTTGTAGAAGGTACAGATGGCTACAAACTGTTGTCTCTAGATTCACCTTATTGTTAGCAACAAATTAAAAGCCTTCAACTGGTTGAAACAGGAGGAATAAGGTATCACATTTTAATCAAAAAGCTTGGGTATAGTCCACTTTCAAACACAGATGCCAGGGAATACTCTTCTAAGGAGTACACTCGGCTGTGCGTGTCTTTTACTGAAAAGTTAAAGCCCAAAAATGAAAATGAAACAAACCTGTTTAGATGCGAGTGGAGAGTTGTGGGTTGCACGATTCTTGGCTTTTGCTCGTTGCTTTGACAGTTTAAAGCGGATGTTTTCTGCATATTGTTTCATCTAGTCCACGTTGGACAAAACAACAAAAGCAATTTGAGAGTAAATATTGAAAAGCCAAGATGTAAAAGAAGCGATTCCATTGTGTCAAATGCGTAGGGGATATCCACTAGCATAGAAAACCTTATTTTAGAAATGCTATGTAAACAGCTTCGATGCGGTGCGCTTCGCCAATGGAAGCCGTAACTGAAGTGTGCAAAAAGTGAAATTCTAAGATAGCAAGTACGGATAATTTGAGACCAGTCATGGTGGTTTTTTGCAGCTGATGAAAAGTCGACCCGTTCTTGTTCTCATTGCGATCTGTGCACATTAAATTCAAAAAGTATGGTGCTTGAGGATGTTGCTTATTAAAAACTCTGTGCCAATGAATTTTTTACATTCGTGCATAGTAGAATGTAAGCGCTCATTTTGCGTTTATCAATAAGCAACGTCCTTCCCCGGTATTTTAACTAACTTACGTCCTGTATTTGGTTTGGTGAAAACCATGACAGTAACTTAGATCGGAACCTTGATAACAGTCACTTAATTGAGATAAAAATCAAGCGTGTCATAATATTACAGACGTACAATTTAATGAACATAAGGTTTGACGTTGTCAAAATTTTTTTACGAGTATTTCAGGTTATTTTAACCTTTCTATCAATATTTATATCCCAACCTATCTGTCTCGCATAGAAGAGTCGGACAAAAGTCATCTGAACGACTCGCTTCACTTTTCATGAAACAACATTGGGCGACCAGTATATTCACTCATCACGTTTCTTATCTAATAATTATAAGTGTAGAGCAATTCATATTAGTGATAACCACAGTAATAATAACACCCGTTCTAATGTGACACGCTTTCAGTGATTAGCTGTCGTGCATTCGTAGGAATTTCGAGGGCTGAGTAGCTACCAGTTTACCCAAGCCTAGGTAGGTGCACTCAAGGTACCGGGTCTGATTTGAACCACGAAGCTTCCGGTTAGTAAGTTCGCAACTCAACCACTGAGCTATCTTGAGCAAACAACAACAACAACAAAGCAAGAAACATTTGCACATGTCATAAGCTACATGAAGACGTGTTTATAAAGCAAACGAATGGATGGCTGTTTGGGGCGGTTGACCCGAATAATCTACGGAAATATTAGGCAACCAAAAAGGAATTTTTCTGCGACTGTTGTTTAGGAGTAACCATATCCTGGCCTATGGTGGGTAAAACCTCTTTCAGCTGTGCAATTAGCAAAGACCTCAGATGTCAGATCTCAGTCTGGTTGATCAGAGAGGACTTGATGTTTCTATCATTCTTATCTGCTTGCTTCAAGTGGTGGTGAAATACTAGAGGGACAGACCTAGTTCTCTCTCAATGATATATATGACGATAAAATAAGCATCCATCTGTAATTTGACGCCTTCTGGAGTTCTTGTTCATTGATCACAAGATACTCTTCCTGAACGCTCGTTCGATTTGTCACCGATCGAGATTTATGTTGCGCAACACACCGGCCAAATAAATGCGGATTAAATTCAGACGCCCTGTTTTTTGTGCGTAAACGATACTGGCTCGAAGCACTTTCTCGTAGAGAGTTTGGGAAGGAACTTACTTGTTTGAATAAGTAATTGTCATTTCCCTTGTTGCTAGACTTCTCATAAGCTATGCATGTATTTCATGTAAATGGCAGATGAAAGCAACGGAAGTGCCAACAACTCCTTGCCTGTGACCTCGAAGTGTTCTGGTCAGATGGACTATGGGACGCCGTAGGTTGAGTTATGAAGTGAGTAACTAAACTGGGCCACGAGAATGCCCAGTCAGACAAGCGGGCGGGGACAATGCAAGAAAAACTCACCAGTTCTCTTTTCTGGATGATCTTTTGTTTTTCGGCTTCCCTCTCAGATAACTTGTCAGTTGCCATTGTGGTTCGTTCTAGTGATTTAGACCGAAATTTGACTTCAGCCAGGCCAGACTGTCGTTCGGACTGGTTGCGTGCGGAAGAGCGTGCACTTTCGCTTTCTTGTACCACAATAAATCCAGGTTCTTTTCCACTCGGTGTTTCCATTGAAGGAGAGGACAACTCAACTGGTGATTTTTCCGATCTGCAATGAGCAGATTCACTACGCACGCCATGTTCAACAACGTCGTTGATCCTTGGACGAACTGGATTGCGGCTTCTTCTGTCGTGTTGTTTTGAAGCCCGCATTCGAAGAAGTTCAGCATAGCCGTGCTGTCGCTGATATTTGTTCAGCTGAATGGTGATTAGGTAGATGCGCATCGACACTGGTTAGAAAAGAACTGTTTTGAGCAGGCTGTTTCACATGTTCGAAACCATAGGTTTGTGGCTTTACCGTGACTAGACGGAAAGTAAACATGGAATCTGACCCATAATCGCTCACTCAGGTAACGATGGCATAAAAGCTGAGCTCATCATAATCATAAATATTCATCATTATCGGCTGTAACAACCGCATACTTGTCGTACTGTGGTTGAGGCTGCCACAGTTCCGTTCACCGACGATTTGTGGAGGTGGGGTAGGTAGCTGCACGTTGGAGGCGGCAGCTGACAAGTTGGTGCGTAAGTATACCACTGTCAGTAGACTGTTAAGTGGGGAAATAGGGAAGGTGGCTATGCATTGAAGGCAATAGTTTGGATACAGAAGCGCCATTTAGGGCGCGACTGGGCCATGCCTAACAATGTCTCTAACCACTGATGTGGCCCGCCTCCGGGTCCTCATCTAGGAAAACTATCCTAAAGAATCAACGGTCATTGACTGTTAACATCAGTTCTGATTCTGTACTACATAAGGAGGACTGTGTTACCACTCGGAAAGTATACAGGAGATAGGCTCTAAACTGCCTCCTCCGAAATCTCTAATAAGCTTCAGCGAAAATGTATGAAAGATGCGACGGAAAAAACTTCAAGAAAAATAATCAAAGAATAAGTGGATGTTATTATTGCCGCGCAATCTGATCATGGCTTTCACGAGGTCACCACAAACCAGAAACATTTAAAACACATCCCATGTGGTAATGGCTGTTGATTTATGGGACAGAAACGGAGACAACTTCTTTGTAGAAAGTAAACAAATACACCCACATCGCGAGCAACGTGACGGTAAAACCAGATTTCGGCTGTTGAATAGATTTGATTAACCATATAAATAATGCCATATTGAAAGACGTTAGTTATGTTCTACCACCAATTTTTAGCATCAGGACGCCAAGCTGACAGAAACCTCCATACGATGCAATTCAAAAATGGCAGAAGCTGCGGGTTTCAGCAATTCTCTTCTGCATTTAGGTAAGCCATTAAATTACTGACCAGGAGCGTTAGTCCCTCTAACCTTCAAAATATATTCTGTAGATTTTATGAAATATCATCGACTGATTTACTTTGGTAACATTGAAGATGGGACGTATTATACAGCTCCCTAAAAGATATATATTCGGTCGAAAAATCTGGTGGGATATCATATGCTGTCATAAACCATTTATACCAAAACGAGCACGTTAAACCGGTTGTGTTGGTTTGTAATAGCCATCGCCAAACAAGCTAACTTACGGTGGAATACTCTGAGCGTTCTGTGCTTTCAGATTATGATAGTTTTGGTATGTTCGAAAGCATTGATATGGCAGCTTGGCTCAATACTGGATTAGCAGGTTTCGGCAAGTATATATTCATTAAAAAACATTGAATGATGTCACCAAAGTTTCTGTGCTCAAGCTACTTCAGAATCAGGCGATGAACATAGCAGGTCAGCATTTATCATGGATCTCCATCGATTAGAGGAAGAAACTAATACTCAGCACAATAAATAGTAAACGGGAAAATCGGCCTAACAGGTTCATTTAGTGGAAAAGTAAACAAGAAACGCAGGCTAAAATTCGGTCAATTTTCCGGTACTATAGGTGGCTGATTGTCATCTTGCCGTCTGTGCTCTCATTATGACTTATTAGAGAGAGATCGTGGGTGGAAATCTTGCATTTGATGATGTGATTATTGTGATAAACTACGCTAGAAGCTCTGGTTCACCTCTGGTCGCTATTTCTTCAAACTGAAAAGCACCGCATAGTCCATAAAACGCAGTCTTGTCTATGCTTTCAAGTATTTTCAGACAGCAACCTTTCACTGTCCAATGACGTAGCAGATAGTTTGGGGCCCAAAAATCAGCTCCATGGGTGACTCGTTTGGCGGGATTGTTTCTCATGCGCTATCAATCACCCTATATCAGTATGACTTTCACCTCCGTTCGTCCCCCCTGAGAATCATCTGATGAACTAAACTGGCAGACGTAATTGGAAGAGATTGTTTTCAAATATAAGCTTAATTCTTTCCTGAATCTGAGAAAACGGTCGCGTTGTAGCCACCCCAATGTGGGTGGGTGGGAGAAGTACAGTGGGTGAATACAATAGAAGTTGGACTAAAACATGCAGAGATCGTGCCACTTATCAACCTTGAAAAGGGATTTCCGAATACCCTCTAACGGCTTCTGTGAGCCGGTTACTGCAAAATGAAATACGATTAGCCTCATCATGTAAAATATAGTTAGGTAAATTTGAGGGCAAATATTTATTTTTGTGAGATGCTGTTATCTCGTTGCTATAGCACCTCCGGAGCAATAACCCAGGACAATTTGGTCGGATATTCATTACGATGTTTTCATTCGCGATGCAAAGATTCAGTCATGAAACCTGTCTGGAAGCTAACTATGCAGTGAATGGTGAGAATTAGGTAGTTTTTCACTGTTCATAGTCAGCGCCGTAAAATATGATGTATTATGCGTCGACCCAAATAGTTATGGCAAAATGTGTTACAGCATTTAAGGGGTGCCGCCGAATTCGGTATCGATATCATGATAGCGCCAAATTAAATGGAACAACAGGTCCATAGGTGCTATTTTATGCTCTTGTAACGAGCATAAGCAAAAGTGGGTTTATTGGTACTACACCAAAATTAGGGTAAGTATGGATGGTGTGGAAATTGTGGAGTTCGCATTCACATCACTCTCGTCCAAACCGTCACCCCTGCTGCGAAAGAAGTACTGAACTCGAGTTTTGCTCTCACTAGAGCTAATCAGCAACTCGTATTCTTTGTTGGTTGAAATCCGGACATCTGACATGCGAGGAGGGCGCGTTACGACTACTCTAATGGCGAATGTTGGAGGCACTTCTTCAATAAATGAAATCGGAAAAGTCTGTAATCCCAACTTTGTGCTACCGATATTCCCAAAATTGAGTGCACACTTCCGCAGCCCGTGACAGTCCTGCCCAGTTGGTGTTTTACCATTCGGGAAACACCTGATTGCTGGAGGATGGCCAAGATGGCTCTTGGACACAAGTAATATTGAGCAACTGCATTCAAAACCCTACTGGTAAAGCTGTTGTAAAGTGCAATTTCATCAAAAAAGAATTCCTACCGGCAGCCAAAGACAGTGGTCTACACTTCGATTACTATCTTTTCAGGTTCATCTCCTTTAAATCCTACTTGAAAATCGGTTATCGCCTGTGTATTTTTCCGTTGGAATTGCTGTCTCCTATCCCTTTTTAGAAAGCTTACTGATTCATAGTTACCTCATCCAAACACGTTCTTGAGTGCAGTGGAATCCTAGCCAACCTCAGAGTTAGTGAGTGAAACAACGCTTGCAATAAATTTTAGTAGAAAACATCATCCAACGGTTATCGTTCCCCAGTTAAATTCAGCTCAACATATGTCCAGGCTCTACAAGGGGTCTAAGTACAAATGTTGCCTACAGTTACCATCACTTATCTAGTATTTTATAAAACTAAAATTATAGAGAGGTTTGTTTAATCACACCCCTAGTCATTCAAGTACTAGTGCCATCACAAGCACATCGAATCAGCTATCAGACAACATTCTCATGCTCGGTCTAGTGGCTAGCTTAGCAGGGGTGATGGTTCAAAAGTAGCAGATAAGACTAAGAAACGCATGATAAATTGCATTTACCAAGTTTCGGGCATAACCTTGCAAAGGTAACCTACGTCCAAATACTGGTGTGTAGCACTTACGAAGACTCAAGCCAGAGGAGGTGATGACTGTCATCTAGGCTCAACAATTGAGTGAATCCGTATATGTATCAGCCATCTGCATGCAAGGCTGTCGAAAATCCAGAGCAGTCATCATCATCATGAACAGCACGACGCTGACGCGCAGATGTTACTTGCAAAATTGATTCACGACGAATTGAGTCATTAGTCATAAGTGATAGACTTACAAGAAGAGAGTTAATAATGGGGTGTTAAGAGGGGAAAGAAAAATTATGCGAAAGAGCAAGAAGAAGGACTTCAACAGTCGCCTTTTTTTAGCTTACCCGCCCTGCAGTGTGCAACGAGCAAGGCGACCCGGCTGATGGCACCAAACAACAATACACAAACTGTCACACCACGGTAAAGTCCAGTCTCGTCGTGATGCCCTAAAGCAGATACTTCGGTCAAAATGAAAAATTTCTGCGTTTCCTACCAAAACATATTGGAAGGGCCAAGAGAAGGATGTATGGTCATCCAGATGGCGTCTGAAATGACTAGCTGCCTATCCCCATCGAGGAGACATTTTTGATATCCCTGAATCGTCTACCACATGAAAAAGTGGCGATTGCAAATTATAGTACGATGAATCACAAGTGAATTTGGCGTGGACGACAGCAGTATACAGATCGAAGTAGTCGTCTTGGAACATACGATGGGTACTCTGTCGACTACTGTTAAGAATAGACTAAGTGATTTAAATGACTGCGCAAGTATCAAATTCACAGTAAGAATTATCTCTTCATAAATGGAAAAAACGATAAACATCATCAATTAGATCTTGGAACAAGATTCAGCGTACTTATTGATCCTTTGGGTAGCCTTCACCAAATACACGTGTCATAGGAATATTTTTGTGTGGTGTGCGACGAGGAAGGATACAACAATCCGACTTACTTTGGCCTTGTATTCTGCAGAGTCCAGGTCAGGACCTAAACCCGTTGATTGCACAGGGATCCGGGGAAGAAGGGTGTAATCTTTCATGGTGTACCGCTTCATCGTAATCTGGCAATGTGGACTTTCCGAAAACTGAGCGGTGATGCTCCGGTGATGTTTTACGTGTGAATCAAACGGCTCGACTGAATGCATATGTGGCTGCTCACGAAGGTGTGGAGAAGGGTGTCGAGAAATCACTGTTTCGGAAGGAGTAACTTTTTGACACAATTTATCTAGTCTGGTTAGTCTATCGCCAACCAGTCGCTGTGTTCGGTTTTGGTAAAACTGTTGATGTGCCTTGATAAGTTCGGCCTGCTGTTGTAGACCCTTGCGATATACCCCGGAAGCTGACAGCTAGACAAAGCATGGATGAAGATAGCAAGACTGATAAGCAACTAACTCGCTGAAGCAATCAGAGAAAAACTAGTTGAAGGGTCTCAAGAAGAAAAGCGTGGGTATGAATCCATTAGAAGATAGTAATAAGGTAGTAATAATAATTGCAATAATAGTCGATCAACTGAAATATCTTTCGGAACCTTGTTTGCACGTCACCCGAAGGGCACACAAGGGCCGAGATACTGCCAGACTGGCCAAACCTAAACAGGAGCAGACAACATGCTTAGTTTAAGTCCGAACCACGGACATCCTGCTCAGCAATTCTGCTCCTTAACCACTGAGTTATCTCGATTTCTATATGAAAGATACACTAAGAAAGCAAAGCGAGATTAATCCAGCATTTCAAAGTGGTATAAAATATTTCGTCCAGATTTATTGCTATTTACCAGAAGATGGATGCCGAACATATGTGGTTTGCTCTGACAGGTCTCTTTACAGACACAGAGTTTAGACGAAAAATAGGTCTGATTTGATGAAACAAAGACAATTTTGACGTTGGCTCGAATGAGTTGAGATAAGGAGAGGATGGTCAGCAATCAAGATATGAATTCATTTCAGTAGCAGTCCATGCAGTCACACTATTGTAGTCTGTGCATAAATTTCACTGGCACGGACTCCGGTGCTAAGAATTCAGCCTGTGAGATAGGGTTGACTAACTCAACCGTGCAATGACGATGTCATCTCGATTGGTGATGAAACGATTGCAATCCAACTGTCATGCTCGGCGAACAGACCAACAACCAAACCGCACCATGTCAGAGTACGTTTATGTCACTTGTGCACAGTAGAATTCAAGAAACGGAGTCAGTCAAAAAATATATTGAGAACAGCTTTTCAGTTGCAATTCATGTCCAGATGGGACTCCATGGAGCTCAGGTGACCGACTTGTGCATTCACATTGTCCACAAGGATGGCACTATCAATGTCTTCTGCTTAACAAGTAAGTTCGGGTGTAAATCTCACTAAAAAGAGTCCTTCTCAGCGTCGAAACTGCAGCCCTATGGGATCTGTGTCGATACTGCAAACGGCCACCGAGGGCGATTGCTCACAGCAGCACTAGGACTGACTTCTAACAAGATGCCACAAATTCCACCAGTCACCACTCCCGGATCACCGGACACACGAAGAGTGAAATATCAAAGAGATGAGTTCCTTTTTGGCGCTCGACGATTCGTGAATAAGCTTGAGTGTCTCAGAGATAGGAACACATCAGTGTTAAGGAAGTAGAAGTTTTGGTAACTGCCCGTTTGTTAAAAGTTCCTACGTAGATGGGAATAGCTACCACGTTTAGTGTGTAGCTAGTCATCCCCACTTCCCAAGGTTATTGGAGAGCAATTTGTGGCAGTTATTTCTACTCGACAACATGTTCACGGTTTTCCACAGCTGGAGATGCACCATTAGCGTTCCTGTTATGAAATCAGTGCTCAAGGACCATGGAGAGACTTGTGCGCTCATCACTTAATTACGAGAACGCTAGGATGCTCGAGCAGTCAGTCAACAAAATATCACAACTAAAGTGTGAAGGATTGGAGGACGAGGGGAAGTCAGCCGCATCAACCATGTGGAACAAGAAGGATAACAACAGAGTGCTCCGATACTCTCAGGTCCGTGATACACTTAACAATCTCCAGCTTGGTGTAATTTGTGTTACTGAGACTCATCAGTCGATGCTCGACTGTTGCACGTTACTATTCGAATTTCAAACATGGACTTGAATCTCTGCATGGCAGAACTAAGAATCACGCTCAATGATTAGATGGGTCCCAAGACAAGCATTTGACGTTGTCAGGTTGTTTAAACACTGACCGCTTGCTGGCTCGTAGATGATAAACCAAGTTGAAGATATCAGGGAAGAAATTCATTGAAAAGTTATGAGGCCGTTTGCACTGAATTTACTGACCTTAAAAAATGTATGACCATTCCTTTAACATCGCGACTTAGAGTATGTTTCGAATATGGGCCCTAACTTTGTGGTCGCCCAGACAAAACATCAAATAATATGGGTGTAGCTAACCTTCTCATGTTTCGGAGCCTCGGTCCCAAAACATTCAGACACTCGTGTGATTCCACAATCCACAGAATAACCGTTTTTAAGGACAGTGATAATGTTACCTAAAGAATTCGAATACTTTGCAATCAGAATGAAATGGTGGATTGTGAAACAGCTTACGGGATGAGCGTGACTACCAGTGCCGAGTGGAGTAGTAGGATAAGTGGACGAGTTTATGTGCCCGGTGGAATTATATCGCAAATCCGTTGGTGATCCAGATTGTATGTACACTTCTCTTGTCTGTATCTGGTTGGATTTTTGCTCGACAGAAGGTCGGTTGTGATGAATGATGCTCTTGAAGCGGTTGAGGTTATCACACTGAATGGAAGAACACCGTTGAAAGAGTTACCAAGGAAAAAAGAAATTCCTCACGTGAAACATGGTAAGCCGAACCAAACAGCGGCACTCGAGTGAGAAGTACTACAAGATTCGTGGGCGCATAAATATCTAAACTTCAAATTGGTACCAAAACACAAATATATTATTTGGACGGGGGGAATACTCCTTTGATTGAACTATAACACCAAAATATAATATCCCGCTCGCTTTTTGCCGCGGCGGTTAGACCTGTGTAATTAGTGTAGATGTAGAGGTCCGTGAATTTTTCATGACGCCAAAACTCAAAAAGAAAGCGAAACTGACGACAACCGCCAAAAACCGTCTAACAACGGGCCAGCGACTGTGAGGATTAACTTACATCATATTTTTTAAATCAAGATCAGTCGCGCTATAACACACCTCCAAGGCTAATTCTGGGTCAAAATTCAAATATTCATAAGTGCTATTGATTCATCATCTTGCCATCAAATTCCACTTGATTGGCGCAATAACAAAGATTTCTAGATGGCATTTTCATGGTACTTTATCTGAGGGAGGCGCGTCAGTCAGCTGAATCTAATCCAAATTGACTGGTGCCGCCGCAGTCTTGATGTAAAAGATCTACGACTGATGCTCATTGCGATATCTTCATGCTTGGGCCGGTTGCTGGCTATTAACTGGCATTTTGTGTTTCTTTTCTGATCTTAATCCCCTGGTTTATGTCGGCCTTAGGGCTTGTAATTTACACCTTATTCGGCTCCTCAAGGACTCAGGCACCTAGCAATCCGACGACTTCGGACTCCAGTTGAAGGAATATATTTTGCCCTCGTCACCCGTGATATTCTATAATATTCCGACGTTAAAAAGTCTTCTTTCTGCTACCTTTTGAAAAGAATAACCAGAATAATCTTATGGTGACTTACAGTGCTTATTGAACTTTAGTACAGCAGTTTTAAAGCACCATAGGTAGCTCAGCTGGCCATTCAAATGTAGCACCACTTGTATAATAATGGTGAACGTCGTACTACACTAAGCAACTGAAGAATCGATGGGAGCGAATTCAGATGAACTAGATTTCATCAAATTTGTGTACACACCGGTGCATTCACATGCTCGAGTCCACTTTTTCACGAAGAATAAGGCCCAGAAGGCCAAAAGGAGGACAAGGCTTACAAAATCCTAATCTTACAAAGGATTAAAGTGAAAATGAGAAACTAACTCGTGTGTTTTCAGATGTTTTCTTAACTCATTTGGTTTGTGTGATTAGTTTTCTTCAAACTGCTTATTCACCTCACCTGATTCACAGAACCATCCTCATCAGTATGTCCATCCGTTTTTGACAGTTTGCGTGCCACGTTTCGCGGAGTTGCGCGGCCAAGAAGCGTTGGGGCGGAGTATGCTGCGTTTTGCATTTGCATTCGCTGATTGAACAAGTGATTACTCCCATGCTCACCCCGTAACGAAGGTAGAGGAGATTTACTGGAGGCAGGAAAAGACCACCAACGTTATGTTCTGATTCACATAAGTCGAGGAACAGGGGTTGAGGTAGAACTATGGGGTATACTTTCAACGAGTTCCACAAGGATCCACGTGTTTACCAATCAGCAAATGTTGATAAGACACACGTAGTTCGGAAATTCCCCAATGAAGCATATTCACTACTCACAAATTCAACGTAGACTCGGTTCCGAAAGGATAAGCTTATGTAAGACAATAAAAAACAAGCGCCTGGTTCAGCAACCGCCAAAAATCGATGACGTTATTCACTGCAGTTTTCTTTGCCAGCCTCAAGTAAGGTTCCATAAAAATTCGTGCCAGGGTTTCCTACAGCGCGACAGTTCTCCACTACACAGGCACGCAATAGGAGATGTGTTGTTAGGTTATCAAGCGAGTCTTTTGTGTCCGGTCGTTTCGCACAACTCTGGGTATGCAACAAAATTCTCACCTTCGTCTGGAGTGAACCTGAAAGTAGCTGTCCTCCCCTGACTGTACCGTGGTCATGAGCTACCCTTATGTATCTCGAAAAAGTAAGTTTTGTGTCACCTAGCTAATAAGAAGCACGAAATGATCACAGATGAAGAAAGCTCATCACGATGCAGAAATAAAATTATCCCTTGCAGACCGTCAGTCCTCATTACAGCTGTGACAATTCCTAACCAGAGGTGTCTGTGAATGTTCCAAGCTAAACTAAGCTATGTTTAGTCAAGAAAAATTTTTAAAAAGATTACTGGTATTTCTACGGTGAGCTTGCCTTTAAAAACTGACAAAGTCGAGGTGTGCGGTTTTCCTGGTAAGTTTGATCAACGATATATGGCGTTCCGAACCGAAGCGCTACCTCTCAAGAGCAACCAGCTGTTTGTGGGACCAGAAATGTGTTTTCTTTGCTCCTGTTTTTTATTGTCGACTTCAATTTAGGAAAAAATGTCCCATACCGTTCAAATTATTCCAAGATAGAATTAACTCCTCTTAAGAGGTATTACCGGGGATGGTAACAATAGTTTAATAATGAAACATGCAACTGCTGGTGGAATCCAAGAGAAAGGCTCGGTTTCGAAGTATGGTCTATTCGGGCAAGGGGGCAATACGTTATTGTCAGATTTTGAGTAGACTGCATATCGGTTAGCTGAAGGTGAGCCGATAGTTTCAATTGAGGGAGAATTTATTCGGCACTAGGGACTGCGTTATTGTGGCCGAGTAACAAATTCCCAGTGAATTTAGCACCTGCACTGTATAATGAAACATTCATGAGAAGAGTAACTTTTGATTTGGTAGAGGAGTATGGGAGTGATTGTGAAGCACCTTGAGTTGAAGGTGCGATCAACCTTAAAAAGTATATTAAGTTCGTAGAGGAAACTATTCACAAGGTTGCTCAGAACTCTTCGGGAGCCAACTACCGGTTTCGCCCTGGATTACATTTAACCTGCTCATGCCAGGCTGGAAACACCGAAAAAGTGGCTATGATCCGATGTCAGCTATGTCTGGTGACCTGAGTAGGCCTGTGTGTAAATCATGATATCTCCAATCGGCTCTCCTGCAGACAACAAGTTGTCTGTCAACTGATTGATAGTGGTTGTACGACAGTGACACGCTGACACACAACTATGGGTTTTGTCCCCGATGATGGTGTAAAGATTAGACGATGCCTCCATTTCAAAGGGTTCGTTTTTTTCACCACCTAATATACCAGGCAATTCTTTTGTAATAAAAAATCACGATGGTTGTTCTGCACCAAAATAGTCTTCCGTACTAATCAAAACATCGAGAAAACAATGCTGGCGTATTTGTTCCACGGGAGCTCCGCAATTCAGGCTGATGAAACTGTAGTCAGTGACCTGATATTGTCCTGAAATTCAATTTTTGAGGTGGAATAACGAAACAAAATGGTAATAACCCTTCTCTGACAGCCCTCTTTGGAATGAAATTTTTGATACGAGATATGAATCAAAATTAATCCTGTCAAAAAAACTACGTAGGTCCTCGAAATGTGTTATACACAAACGGTCATTTATAATGGGTTATTACAAGAAACTAAAGAGGATGAATGCTAACATTGATGGTATGCATTCTGTAACTTCCAGCTTAAATTTTAGCGGTGCAAAAGCAGTGGGACTTACCTTATTTCCGTGGACTTTCCACCCTGATATATCGCCGAATAAGAACCTAACGATTTGTGTTTCCGACACGCTATTTTGGTTTTGTTTGCTTGTACAAAATTGACTGTATCCATGTACCTTGTTTCAGGCCGAACTTGGCGCCCAATCATTCCTATGGATTAAACAGATACACAGCCCAATTTTACCGGATGGAAGTCTTGATCATTGCTAGTTTGAAGGACATCAGTTGGTAAACCCCTGCCATAATAGCTATTAACGACAAGATGAACAGCAAATGGTGGTCTGATTGAATCATTCTCAATGGAGACTTACTGTCGCCAACATAGATCAGCCCACCGTCATATGGTATACTGGCGGTCTGATTGGCAACCCGCGCCTTGGAGACCTTGGTCAGTTGTTCACTTTGTTTCTGCCTTTGTTTCAGCTCCTCACTGAAAACGTTCCATCTACTCGATATTGTGTTGTCTTTGGCTTCGCTACTCCGGGATCCCGTTGAGGGCTGATGAAGCAGAAATTAACCCATTTTAATGACTGGCAAAAGTGTTGCCAAAGTTTTACTGAGTAAGTTTTCAGTAGTGGAAAACACCAAACGCTAAAAGATGCGAATCGCAACTTCATTGGTTCGGAAATACATTTGCCAGATGACTCAAATTAATACAGAGTGGAGTAAGCCCGGGTTTTCAGAAGCCTTGTATTTCAACACGGCCCAAAGGTTTAGAGAAGTAATCGCGTACCCTCAAACATTTTCGGTTCCAAACTCTGAGAAAACGAACGAACTAAAAATTTTCAGTCAACTGAGTCGCTTCTACTTGCAATTCTGTTAGCACGGAAGTAAATCGATCATAGAGGCTGGATTTTACCATGAAAACGATGAAAAGTTTTAGGGCAGCCAATAGCTACTTCTTCTTAGTTGAGGAAATCCAACGGTTCACACACCACCTATCTAAAGTATGCAGCTGCTTTATTGCGGCACATTCGTTCGAAGATCCAAATAATATTCACTCGAGTCTACTGGTCATACCACCTGAATTCGCAATCGGGTGTTTATCGCGATATGCGTATTGTTTGGCGTTCGAGTAGAAAATAGGATGAATTGAGAGTTAAAAATAGGCTTACCTGACGAACCTCAAGAAGAGTAAAGCAGGGACTGAGTTACAGAATAGTCTTCAGCAGCCTTACAAGTAGTTCTCCGTCAAGCAAGAAAACTTTTGAACGCATCTTAACTAAACGTCTGTGACAGGTAACGAAAGGGAAGTGAGTATATTCTAAACCTTTGAACAATCTCTTATTCAATATGTGGCAGGTCGTTTTGTTCCTACTTCGAAAAACAGAAGAGTCATTGCTATCCGGTTGTCCAAAATGGCATTTTACAATGAACAGCAAGTCTAGAGTGAGATTTGCTGTTTTGATGATCAACTCATTGAGACTAGCACAATGAGCAGAAACGCAGTAGTACTGCTAGCAAGTTTAACTCAAACCTTCAGACTCCGAATGTCCTCCTCAACGTTGGCCTGTAAAACTTTTAAAATCAATATTGCCTACGAATAAAAAAACATGATATCTTGGATATCTACTGATTTTTCCTTTGGGCAACTTTGCGTTGTACACTCCATTACATAACATCATCACCGACTGGGTCATTTGGACCTACTTTGTTTATACCCCAGAACCCTATGGCCTATAGGACAAATTTAAGTATTCAGCACGAATAGTCCACGAGTGCTTCACCCGAGACCAGTGATGAACAAAAATTTCGTGAGTTGAAGGAGTGTGCCAAGGGTGTTTTTGAGTAACGTGTCCATATAAATAGTTGGAAAGAAATAATCATCAATTTTTTTTCAATTAATGAATGTGTTTACAGGGGGAAGTGAAATCTACGTCGTTATATTCCCAGTACCACTCATGGTTTGCTAGCACACCGGTAAGCATTGAAAACGTGTGGAGGCATCATTGGTTTGTTACTCGTACGCAAACATATTATAAGGTGTAATTAATGTGCCAAAATAATTTTAGCTCAGATATGTGTACTGACGGTTCATCAGATGGTCGCTGATCTGTTCATCGAGCTGGGCAATCGGCTTGCAAACGTTTCGCCCTCAGTCAAGAGGAAATCGTCAGTGCGCACTCAGCTCGTCAGCGCACCCAACTGTGCAATGATGATGTCTCCTCGACTTAGGAAGAAACATTTGCAGACAGACTACCAATCTTTGTGAACAGATTAACGACAACCTGATCAACTACCAATACTATAAGGTATACAAATTGTGTGGATATCAGCCGAGCACCTGTATTTAAAGTGACTCCATTTAGCCCTTGGGGCCTCTTAATGTAGGGAAGGTGGAGTGGGAAATCTAAATCTAAATCATCATCAGACTACAACTGTAGAAAACTTGTGGTGGTCCTCACCGACACATTTGTCCACTAACAAAAGGGATACTGGAGGGTCTGGGCAAGTGATCGACTGTATTGCTGTGTAATCGTTGTGTAATGATGTACTTGCAGACGCATAATAAAGGGTATGTGGATTTCACCACCATCAGAGACAGAGCTTGATGCGAATGGCACCAGAGTGCGACCACAACAAGGACAAAAACACACTTCATAAGTCTGTGAAACTGACGCTGCGACGTTCGTCCCTGGTATTCCGGACAAAAATTTTCAAGTTAAGTTGTCTCAATAAAACCGTTTCAAAATTTTGTGGACAAACAGCACATGCTTGACTTAGAGTAGGGGCGTACCCAGAAACGGTGTATCAGATCTCGATCAGTGGTCTGGTTAGAAGCAATGGTGTGAAAAATTACATGTTTCGAATAAAATTTGTTGGTAATATATTGAGTGGGAGACTCTTGCCTGCTGACAAGGCTGCACGAGACAACAGCTGCGTTTCCCCCATGAGTGCTTGCGAAGCTGCATTCTTCCACGTAGCGTAAAATATCGACCATCGATTTATCTCCCCAAATGAACGTTGTCTACTGCGTAAACTACTGAATAGCCTTCCATCCAAAGTTAATCCTAGACAAACCAGCCTGTGTTGGTTAAGTACATAAAACAATATGCGATGCCGGTACGATAAAAAGAACTCAGGTCTTTGCACTCTTTTTTTATCTCACAGTGAAGAATCACTGGAGATCACGCTAATTCGTGGGCCCGCTGGAAGGGGCCGCACGTTTGTTAAGATGCATGTTTTTTCTTTCACAGCCATTTCGAAGCTATTGACACCAGCATCATTTGTTTCTTGTAGTCGAATGCATCACAGGTTTCGCATGAACATGGATGAAATATTTCAGTCATGACAACTACTTCAAACCAGTAAGCTACACCATCGGTAAGAATCACCTGAATGCCGTAGTTCTGGTGTTTATTCCTTGATGGCGCCCAGTTTGCTCGTATTAGCATACCAAATCCAGTCAGTTTTAGTTCCACAGCCCACGAGGTACCGGAGAGTTCAATAAATTTACCAAAAGCGATATTTAGTCATTTTAAGCAGATAAGTTTTCTGGGCGTTGTAGTGGCCCTATTCAACTGGCCATAGCTATCCTAAATTCCACAAGACACCTTCTGTGATTGCTGCGCGCCAAAATGAGCGGACTGCTGTTGCGCATGGAGTTCTGAGGAAAGCAGCCAGTGTAATCTTGATTCATCAGTTTCATCCCTCAGGGTATGCCCCACCAGTTGCACTGCTCGTTACACGGCTTCACTCGAAAATTAATAGATGAGATGTGGTAACTTCCTACTTAACCTCAACATAAAATGGAGCCAGTTCGGAAACTGATCGAGAAGCTCTTTACGCTGGAAGGTAAACGCTGTCTATAGGACACTTCCCGTTGTTTTCTAAAAGGTCTTCCCCGCGATGGGTTCAGTAAACACTAGATGTTTTCGGCTTCGGTATTTCGCCTAAGTTGGTTACTTATTTAAACAAAATGGCATTCCGGAAAGTATTCAGTTCAGTTTTTTATACGTAAATCTGTTTGTGTGAGAAAACGCTTAATTATCAACGATAATCTACTCTAGAGCTTTATCTGCACTGTCCGGCACACTGAAGTGTTTAAAAAAGCCGAAGGACAAGCCGATGGGGTGAAGACTCTTTATGTCTGAAAACGGTTATCCAAACTCACCGTGCAGTCATGTTCTGAATCATAACGGAGGTCAATATCGAGGACACCTTTAAATGGATCTTCAGCATCCGTGATGACACTACTGCTGCAAGATGTCAATTCAAGAGGAGGGATGAATGGAATTTGTGCTTGTTCCAGGCCTTCTGAAGGGTCAGTTCTTTTTCCACAACCTGAAGCCAGAGATAATTCGCCGTCACTGAAATCATATTCTGCGGAAAGTTGTTTGGGCTGCTTTGCAGCGAGTTCCATCACAGATCGTTGGGGGTCACTGATGAAAGTTTGAGAACACGCTCTCAAAGTGTTATCTTCCAAACTATCTGTTAAAACATCCGACTCAGCATCCATGTTTCTGTGCGGAAGAAAGGTGTGTTGCCATGAAGCTAGAAGTTTGGAATGAGAAGGAAAAAATTTGCTCATTACCACTGGAATCTCAGGAACAGCACACTGAAATTTTGTCATTTGTCCGTTTGGATCAGACAATGCATAACTCCTGTGCAGCTGATTCAGAGTGTGGAGGCTTGAAACAGACAAAACGTGTAGTTTCGTTTAAATCCCCTAATTAGTGAACAAAACTTGGTTTAAAACCCCATTAGCTGAACGGAAAGTGAGTCTTTTCGTGCATTTCATGGATTAAAAAACTATTGATATAGCGAAATACACTCATTTGCAAACAAATTTGGCTTTGCGAGAGACTCACCTGGAACCCAGCTGAATCTCTCGTTCATGGTGTTTCTAAGTAACTGAATGTGCTGCATCAGGCCGCTTAGTGTTTCAGTTGGTAGGATATTTGAGATATCACGATACATGTATAAAGGTAATGGTTTGCTCATAAAGTTGCTGAAAATTCTTCAAAAGCCAACGATACCTCGAATATCGCATCAAATGAAACATGAGGCGGCCTGGTGCAGCACATTCAGTAGCTTAGAAACATCACAAACGAGAGATTCAGCTGGGTTCCATGTGATTCTCTCGCAAAACCAAATCTGTTTGCAAATTAGTGCATTCCGCTTATTTCGTGCAATTAGGTTTCAAGTAGAACATAGGGTTGACGAAAATTCGAAGACTACACCTACCGGATAAACCCCAAGAAGGGCAAAACCGGTCGTGGACTGTCGAAGAATTTTCAGCAACCTTATGAGTAGTGCTTTACGTCTATAACTATTCATATAGCTTCGGTAACGCTGTGGCTCTGTGATATTTGCCAACAAAATCAACTTCTGACTCCTGAAGGGAAGGGCTTGGAGAAGAAGGATCCTAGAATTAACTATATTCTATATGTACGCTTCAACTTGATCAGGATCATCTCAACTAAGCAATCAACTAACCTAGTACAAATCGACTAGCTTTGGAGACTTAAAAATCTATCTAGATGAGATTTTTGGAAGCATTTTGAAACAGTGTATGTAGACCTAGTCGCGTCAGGGAATCGGGGCGATAATCTGTGAGATGTATCGTAGAAATAAGCTGTTTGACTGCCGAAGCAAATCTAGTGCACAAGAGATTGGTACAATGGAATGCTCTTTGTGCTCCCATACTATGCATGGACCTGTGCAGAGATCGAGCCACTTGCAGATAACTTTGGGTAAAATTTCTTTTTTGATGAAAAATACTCTCATAGGAATTGTGAAGAAACAATAGCTTGAGAGAGAAGCTGTGGACTGGGAAGATAAATTTGCTTTCACAGTTGAACTACTATTGTCTTTAATAACCCAGCGTTGGTACATGGTCTGTTTCTGATAAGTTAGGGCAACACAGAAATGGCTACAGATTAGCGCTTGGATTATCTTATAAAGCACCTATCGTTAGTCCATAAGCCTGAACACAGTCTCTAGTAATAAATAGTTTTCAATACCAATAAGTATCTGGTATTGGTTCAGTCCATGTGTTGACATTAGTCATAAGTTAATACATTGACACCCTGAAAAATAGCCAAATAGCTTATTTTGTTTAATTTCTTGCTAATAAAATCTGTTCGTTCATTGACATTTTCATTCCAAACGTCTGCTCAACTTCCATCACTTTTTTCCATGACAATGAACAAGTCCAATTGTGTTGCTGGCTTGTGTTCAAGCAAGAAGTTTCTTCAAAGTATTGAAAAGTAGGCCAAAAAACAGACTTCTTCACTGACGGCAAACTATTTTAAACCCAGTTTCCATCACAATTGCAAATGAGGAATAATCGGCTCCGATTATTAAGCCGTAGATCACGCGCTTCAAGAGCAATTTACTCTTCAGCCTCACAATATTTTGTTTCATAAGCATTAAGGTTGGATCTAAAAGACCACTTTTGCGCAATATCTTTTCGTACTCCTAGCGTCAACTGAAGGCGGTTTTAAAGTTCAGTTACCCAGAGGTTTACAGATTTTAATTTCCTTGGTCTGACACGGACCTTCAAATTCTTATGCGTTTGGATTTTTGCAGGTCTGAATCAGGCTGTTTTATTTCCAGTTTTATATATAAGTGCAGAAAGCGACCTGGCCTTGTTTCTCCGAAAATGATTTACGCTAGTAGCAAGTATGGTGAACACTGCAGTAGCAACATGCTTTGTAACTCCTACCTGGCCAAATCAATAAGTCAGCATTTCAGTCGGTAAGCAGTAACACACTATTTATCGAGTGCAAAGTAAATAAACCTATTGAGCACCTTAGGTTGTATCTGTAATGTTCACTCTACGACTAAGAATCATATAAAGGTTTGTCGTTCACCGGGCCACAGGAAGCGGTGACCAGTGAGTACTAGTGCAGCAGTACATAAATAATCTACGCAGAGCTACAGTGTTTCATGATCTATTGAAAACTAAATCCTTTTACAGTATCATGAAAGTAACCGTTATTAGAGCTCAAGAAGTCCTTTGAAAACCACGGGGACGGTTTGTCTTAGTATCATATCCCGAAATATATTTAATTGATGACTTCAAAGCACATGCTTACGATTAGAGCCATAAACACTCTCAACAAATCTTATCGCAGCACCAAAATTTTCTAGTGGTTGCGCATAATAGAGGCCCAAAAAGGTGCACAATGGAAGGACATATGTGTAGCCATAAACAAATGATGTGGTTGTTCATGCAAAAACAATCCACAACTATTTTCATTGTGACCGGGAATACTTGGATGGATTCAACAGAATCCATCACCTTTCCGCCTATCACTACAGAATCAGGCAGCCAGTAAACAGAGATGCAAACACTGCGAATCTAAATTTAATTGTTTTCCGGGTCTAGACCATGTGATGAGGGTTGTCCAATGTGGCCTGGCTTTATCGTCGTGTAAAACAGCGTCCAAAACTCGATTGGAACCCATGGAGTAATTGCAGTAGGATAGGTTACACGTCCCTAGCGTAAATGGCTTCCACCGTTCACAACCTCCTTTTCGTATAAACCAAGAAGTCACCTCAATGAAAAATACATGCTAAATATTCTTATTTGAAAAGAACAGAACATGCACTGACAGACATTCTGTAGTCAACATTAATCTGTTTTAATCGATGGAACGTTAAACTGTCAACCAAGAAGTTATATTCAATGTCAGAATGGACCTTAGTTGACTTGCAAATCTGAGTAAAACAATATATTTTATATCGATGCCATGCTGGCTGACATATGCGTGTGCGGTGACGTCCAGGAAATAGGCACTCGCACTTCACTGCAATTTGAATAGACTTCTTGTCTTCTTGTAATAAAGGTTTGTCGTTCACCGGGCCACAGGAAGCGGTGACCAGTGAGTACTAGTGCAGCAGTACATAAATAATCTACGCAGAGCTACAGTGTTTCATGATCTATTGAAAACTAAATCCTTTTACAGTATCATGAAAGTAACCGTTATTAGAGCTCAAGAAGTCCTTTGAAAACCACGGGGACGGTTTGTCTTAGTATCATATCCCGAAATATATTTAATTGATGACTTCAAAGCACATGCTTACGATTAGAGCCATAAACACTCTCAACAAATCTTATCGCAGCACCAAAATTTTCTAGTGGTTGCGCATAATAGAGGCCCAAAAAGGTGCACAATGGAAGGACATATGTGTAGCCATAAACAAATGATGTGGTTGTTCATGCAAAAACAATCCACAACTATTTTCATTGTGACCGGGAATACTTGGATGGATTCAACAGAATCCATCACCTTTCCGCCTATCACTACAGAATCAGGCAGCCAGTAAACAGAGATGCAAACACTGCGAATCTAAATTTAATTGTTTTCCGGGTCTAGACCATGTGATGAGGGTTGTCCAATGTGGCCTGGCTTTATCGTCGTGTAAAACAGCGTCCAAAACTCGATTGGAACCCATGGAGTAATTGCAGTAGGATAGGTTACACGTCCCTAGCGTAAATGGCTTCCACCGTTCACAACCTCCTTTTCGTATAAACCAAGAAGTCACCTCAATGAAAAATACATGCTAAATATTCTTATTTGAAAAGAACAGAACATGCACTGACAGACATTCTGTAGTCAACATTAATCTGTTTTAATCGATGGAACGTTAAACTGTCAACCAAGAAGTTATATTCAATGTCAGAATGGACCTTAGTTGACTTGCAAATCTGAGTAAAACAATATATTTTATATCGATGCCATGCTGGCTGACATATGCTTGTGCGGTGACGTCCAGGAAATAGGCACTCGCACTTCACTGCAATTTGAATAGACTTCTTGTCTTCTTGTAATTCAATGACTTGGCAGCGAAGTATGAAAGCCATTACCAGCCAACTCAGCTGCGCTGGTTACTGCCATCTTTCTGGATGGGACCCCGAGATGGGTCACATCAATGGCTAGAGAAATTGTCAGACATGGCCCAGTTGCGCCCTCAATGGCGCTCGTTCATTTAAGCTATTGCCTTCAATGCACAGCTCCTTTTCCAACCCCCCGCTTGACATCCCATTGATAGTACTGGATTTATGCACCAATCTATCATCTTCCGCCTGTAATGCGCAGCTAACTACCCCCAAATCATCGGTGATCCAAACTGCGGCAGCTACAACCACTGTACAACGATTACGCGGTTATTACAGCTGACAATGATGATGATAATGATGATAATGGCGATGATGGTACGGACAAATTGATCTGGTTGTGCGATATCAAAGTACAAGTATCCTATCTTGATATTGTTTTCAGTTATGTTAAATGCCTTGATAGTTCAACGGTGATAAAATTAATAATCCTCTTTTAGTTGTGCAAAACGGGCAATAAAATACGTATCGACAAAAAATACTGGGAAATGGGATAACCAAAAATGCCTGATATTGGAGTGAATGACTAACAGCCGCACTTTCTTTCTGAAGGATAGTCATCATCATCATTGTCAGCTTTAATAATCGCGTACTTATCGTACAGTGGTTGTAGCTGCCACAAGTTTGTTCACCGATGATCCAGAGAGGTAGGGTAGGTAGCTGCGCATTTGAGGCGGGAGCGTGAACGCAGCACTGTGTGGCAGAATTACAAGGAAAATAACGATACCGGTTCGTTTATCATCTTCAATTTGGTGCATTCCATATAAAAGCGGACAAAACTAAATAGCATTGAATTTTATGCAACATTGTATAGCACCCAAACTTATGGGTTGCGTAACACGATATCTATGGAGAAGAGCCTTGGAAACAATATTAGGCCAACTGTTTTTGCTAGTGAGTGGCTACTTAGCAAACTCCCACTCCCGACAGTTTTGGCAAGCCATCACCGCTACTATCATACACGTGTAGTGTTTGTTAAATTGATCTTTTCTAGATGAGAATTGCCACGTACGAATACTTGCCTTGTAAGACGTACTTTTTTAGGTGCACCGCCATGGAGACCACACCGTACTATGAAGTATCCTCACATTTCAGTTGTTTCTTAGGGCTAAACGTCTTACATAATATCTCTTTACATCAAACCTTCGCCATGATTACCAATACATTGTGGAAGGAGGCGTAACAATCTCTGCTGTTTAGAACTGGCCTCCAATTTTTGTCGACATGCCGGAGCTAAACTCTAACTTTTATGTCTGTTTTACTATACTTCGATTTTGGAGGCCACTATGCACGAAAATTTTAATTTTGGGCAGTATGATCCAAATAATGACACATTCTGACTAACAACAGTTGAATGTGTGACCAGAAATATTTATTAGTAGATAAAATTAGTTATGGGGAAGTCAAAGTTGTCAGAAGGCTCTTTAGAACTCATTAAAAAATGTCGTTGAAACACGGTCA